TATCTTTAAAAAAAAAAGAAAATAACCATCTTGATGGGTCACGAGAACATGGTGCTAATGAGATGTACAAGAGCTCTGCTCCTTTGTGAATGACTTAATAAAACCACATTTATATAGCAAAGCTTTGGCCGCTATGACTATGGGAATGTTTCTCTTTCTTGAGTCTAAACGTAGAGCATCAAAGAACACTCTTTTCTTCCAACACTTCTGTTGGATGAGATCAATTGCTATTACAATTCAAGCATTCACAGTTTAGTTACACCCTGATTTGTCTTCAATGCCAATTGGTTTCGTGGCATGAACTATGTAAGTGATATTAGCCTACCTCCCACTGTTTCCTTTAACCCAATCCTTGCACCTGTGCTCTACAGAATAAGCAACAAATGGCACAGCACAGCAAAGTGTTTGACATTTATGTTGAGAAATGGCATAAGTTACCACAAGGAGACAAACCAGCGAAAGAATAGCCTTTAATTTACAGTATGGACTTTTACTGCTGGTTGGGCAAACCAGTTTACTTTATTTTATTTTATTTTGTGTGGATGTATCTAATGAAAAAGAACATGATGTATTTTCACAGAGCTGAAAAAAGTTACTTTTAAAAAAAAATAACTCTAGAAACTTAAGCTAGTATAATCACTAACCACGCTATCTGGGGAGTTTTCTTGTATCCAGGCAGCATAAGCAAATCCAACCAGGGGAGTGTGGATCAGGGTCAAGACAGAAAGCAGAGATCTAACAAATAGAGTCCTACCAGACAGTCAGACAAACTAAGTATGCAAGATTCAAAACTAAAGTGCAAGAACAACTGAGAGTCCAGTCACTCCAGCAGCAATAGCAAACAAACAGGGAGTGCAAAAAATTTAGTCAAACCATTTGAGTCAGGACACCCACCCTGTAAGCATGATTCGGCGCTAGAAGAGATATTTTCCCTAACAAGCCAAAATCCCAAGCTGGTGTTTTTATAGCTAGACTGGTGGAGCCCCATCAAAAGCTTAGCAGCAGGCATTGGCCAACTGGTAGTGGAGCTCCACAATTTGGTGCGGCCTATTGGTCTCCTTGGAAGGAAGAGCTTTCTCTACCATCTCCCCTGAAGCTGAGCAATTTACCAGGAGGCTTTTGGCCAAACTTACACCTTCATTCCCTGGTGTACTTGTGGGCTGAGAGGAGGTTGAGCCTCTTCATCTGACACACAACCACCTTTATCCAGCATTCAGCTTACTGGACCTTGAAGACCCTCAGGTCTATTTCTCATCCATGTCAAGTTGGGAAAGGGGTGGTGATGTTCCAGCTCATCCTCTCTGGAGGACTCATCCAGTGGGCATGAAAGCTTCAGTCCACAAAAGTACCATTTTATAGAAAAACTGGAAACACTCAAGGGCCTAAAATCTATATCTCCCAAAATATTTTAACAGTGGGGAAGCCATTTTGAGGTGTTGCTTTCCTTACAGCACTAAAAAAATGTGAGAATACATAGACCACACAGGAGAATCCAAAATGAGAGCAGCCCCTTTTCATCCCCCCATCATCGCTACCCCTGTAGTCTGTGCTCTTCCCCAGTGGTGGTTGGTCCACTGGCATGAAGGGGGATACTCAGCCTTGGGTTATGCTTAGCCAAATCACTCAAATTTTCCAAAAATGGAGGGTCAGGATGTGCCTGTGTTTCCTTTCTGCTGAACTCCCAGCAGACTGTGACAATGTATAGGAAGGAAAAGAAAACAGTAGTACCAGATTGTATCCTTTTTGCTCCACCTGTCATCGGTTGCTGCACCATCTTCCCCGCCAAGCCCAATGGGTACCAGCTGTCACAGCTCCTCCCATGTGAATTCTAGTCTCCAGCATCACTGATCCACCAGGGAAGAAGCCATGCTGCAACAGCTGCCACATCACGAGGTTCTCAGGCAGCTATTTTACTCAGAAAGAATCTTATAAAAGTCAGCCATAATTGTATTCGCGAAGGCTTTCATGGCCGGGATCTAATGGTTGTTGTGGGTTTTTCGGGCTCTTTGGCCGTGTTCTGAAGGTTGTTCCTTCTAACGTTTCACCAGTCTCTGTGGCCGGCATCTTCACAGGGCAGCAGAGTGGACACAGAGACTTGAGAAATGTTAGGAAGAACAACCTTCAGAACATGGCCAAAGAGCCCGAAAAACCCAGAACAATTATCCAGCCATAATTTTTAAAGCATGTTAATTCCATCTTAAAGCATCTTAAAGCATGTTAATTCCATCTTCACGCTATGCTTTTGAGCTTCTACTTTAAATCACCTAAACATAGCAAGGTGATGGCTGTTACATACAGCACTGATGTTACCTGTCTATCATGGGTTTGGAGGGAAAGTTCCATCCTATGGAGAGTGGAAGGCGGGACATCAGGAGGAGGGGCTGTACTGTATAAATATGTGATGCCTGTGTGGTGAGGAGTTTATACTGGGAGATGCTGAGAGACACTGGGATGTGACGAAGCAGCAGCTGGGAAGAAGAAGCTGTTGTGGGAGTCTGTGTGTCAGACAGGGTACTTCTGTGTGTCAGAGTACCAACCTGATAGGTTCAGGTGTCTGTTGGTTAGCCAGAACTGATAGGTTCAGGGTCTGTGCTTCAAGTTAAGGGTTCTGGGTGAACCAAACTGTATGCTTGTATGAGTGAGAATAAGCCACGTTACTTTATCCTATTCACCTGATTGTTTATTTTTCCCTGTGTGTATTTAAAATAAACCTTATTCTTTTTATTGTTTAAAAATCAAAAAAAAAAAAAATCAATGTGACAAACCCAGACCTACTGGGATCTGCCACACTTTTACACTAAGCTGCCACCAACCATTCCCCGTAAGAAGTCACACAGACCAGGGATGGATTTTTAAACAATAAAAAGAATAAGGTTTATTTTAAATACACACAGGGAAAAATAAACAATCAGGTGAATAGGATAAAGTAACGTGGCTTATTCTCACTCATACAAGCATACAGTTTGGTTCACCCAGAACCCTTAACTTAAAGCACAGACCCTGAACCTATCAGTTCTGGCTAACCAACAGACACCTGAACCTATCACGTTGGTACTCTGACACACAGTAGTACCCTGTCTGACACACAGACTCCCACAACAGCTTCTTCTCCCCAGCTGCTGCTTCGTCACAACCCAGTGTCTCTCAGCATCTCCCAG